GGGCTTCCTCTGCTGCCCCCTGGAGGATGGGCTCCCCCTTTTGGTCTGGTTAGGGTTTGGGCTTCCTCTGCCAGCCCCAGGAGAATGGGCTCCTCCTTTGAGTTTGGTTCCTCCCAAGGTTTCTTCCTTCTAGGGAGTTTTTCCTTGCCACTGTCCCCTCTGGCTTGCCCTCTGGGAGTTTTGGGCAGGGATACTGTAAAGCACTTTGAGACGATGTAATGTTGTGAAAATGGACTGTATAAATAAATTTGAATTACATTTTAAATTGAACTTTCAAATTATGATTTTCATGGAGTTTAGTGTATGTCCACTGCCCCAGCAGCTCAAATCCACATTTTATTACAAAACTTTGTGCAAATGATGTTTCCCCTCTTCTCACCCTACACCTGTCTCTGTGGGGATTAGGCATTACTGCTGCCACATGAGCAGTGAACCATCCCTAAGCACTGCAGTACCCGCTCCCACACCCGCTAACTGCTCAGTGTCGGATTGCTGCTTAGTTACTTATCAACTCATTCTTACTTTAACCCCCATGTGTTTTTTTCCGAGACTGTGCTGTATTCCCCCCCAAGCAGCCACTGGGCTCTGATAAAGATAAGGGTGAGTCTGTGTGTTCTTTCAGTTTGGTTCCTTTTGTCACACGTCATAGACAATACAAGGAGTGAACTTGGACTAAACTCATGTTTCTTTTTTTTCTCTTGGAATATACCAAAACATTGACAGATGGAGGTATCACCGCGATTTCCTTTTTACAGATGAGTTTAATGTTACAGACGGAGTTAAATTGCCTTTGTTCATTAAGGTCGGTGTTCAGTGGCAGCTGTTCACTGTATGGCTGCTGACGTGAGTAAACAGTGGAAGCAGGGCTCCCTTTCAGGCTCTCAGTGCGTCTGGCGGCCTGGGCCTGTGCTATCTGAGCATGTGCACTGAGGCACTTTCCTGCCATTTCATCACTTTCAGGATTCATTCCCTCTCAATTCTGTCTGTGTTTTCATCGGACAAGTAGATATTGTAGCACTCCCTCACCCTCGCTTTACTAAATACATTCTCAGATCCAAGTTACCATAGAATTCTACACTTTATTCATCATTTATAAGGGACGTTTAATGTTAAAAAGTTCCTTAGGCAAAAGTGTATTTCATCTATAGACAATGATATCGTGAATTTGCCCATTTCATACTTTTGTCTGTTCCAGGCGTGTTGCTGGACATACAGCTGTACTGGGGCACAGGCCCCCCACCCCCCATTACCAATATGATTTTTGAAAGCTTAATGTGAGATTTTACTGGGGCTCATGGTCTGTGTTATCCTCCACACGTGCATAAAGTACTAAGGCACATAAGCGTCATTCCTTGACATACAGCGCTGGAAGGACGGCACAGTATGTGCTAATCCAGCCATCCCTCATTAAATGAAAATTCAGACGTTTGCCGATGCATTGAGTGCTAATGACCTACATCCTCGGGGCAGGTTGCCTACCAGGGTCTCGCTTTCCGACACACGTCCGCGCTAAGCGCTAATTCGAGCGGAGCCGTGTCAAAATGATTCGGGAGATCAGGTCCGGAATTACCGCGCGACCCGGACAGTGTCGAGGGGAAGAACGCGCAGATATAAAACGGTCTATTTCATCTGACCTTTATTGTTAGAGGTTGCGTTTGGGGATGTGCTGCTGCGAAAACAAGGCGTATGCACGTATAGACTACTAAAACAAAGCAGAATTACGCCTTGACATTAATACATTCACTTTTCTTTAGATGTTAATGGCTTGTTACCACGAATTACAAATCTGTTAAAACTACACCCTACATCTACAGTAATTTTACAGTATGGAATTCTATAGGGCTATATATTATTTGGGGGAAAAACAGCAATGCATGCATGTTTTTTATGCACATATTCGGGTAAAGTATAGGTGGGAAAAAACCGAGGGAGTTTGATTTCTATGATTATTCGTCACTGTTCCTACCATTATGATTAAAGTCCATTTCAAGAGTTTGTGATAATATTTTAGTTGGCAGTACACCAGGAAAAATGTATAAACACAAAAATGAATATGCTCAAAATACCGAAACGAGATATTATCATTATCGTATTATATTTAAAAAATAAAATAGGTCTTTTATAGGTCTTTTACATAAAGTGCTATAGTTATATTATTATATTATCTTTCAAATTAACACAGTTCTTTTCCTGATTATTAATTCAAAACACTCTTGTGAAGCCATGATGTAAAATTAAATGAATTGCATAATATTTATGTGCCCGATTTTGTTTCATGGGCAACTATAGATTAAATCAAGCCCACCGGTTTGTTCCTAATAAGTAAATATTTCACAAGCCAGCGTTTCAATTAGAAAATATTTGAATTAAGTACGTGAAAGCTTTATTATTGGATACGAGTGCGCTGTATTTCAAATATTTTATTTGTGAATTCTTCAGGATTTAATGCTGCGATGTGCTTGCTTTCTTATTACGGTAACCTTAAAAAGACCTGATCATTAAACGTTACATCAATTCACTAATTTTAAAATACCATAACAAAACCATTGTTCTGGAAGTAATTTCGAATTTTGCCCCAAGACCGTGTCCTATTCAACCTCTTCCCCTTCACCGCTCGTTATATGAATGTGCATTATGCAAAAACAGCCCACATCTCACTCTGGAAAATGGGCACCACCGCATATAAATCAGACGACAGCAAGCCTGAAAGTGCCTTTCCATTCGATTAGAAACCATATAACCACAAAATAAACTTTGATTTACCTTTTAAATAAAAATCTGCCTTGTTTAAAGTAGATATTTCGGTTAATATAAGCTTATATTAAAAGTTTTATTTATTTGCTTAGGTGAACGAGCGATAAAATGCTGCTGGGCAGTAAAGATGACAAAAGTAATAGTGGACTGTCATGGAAGTTACGAGCCCTGCTGCTCGCGATGTGTGTCCTGATAGCGGCTCACACCGCTGGGCTGCTTTTCGTGCTCCACCGGAACACGCGGCTCTCCGCCGAAGTCTCCCAGCTGGACGCGCGGATGCAGGAGCTCTTGGAGAGGGCGGTGGTGGAGTTCCGCACGGAGGTGACCCGCCACCACACCGACCAGCAGGCAGAGCGACACCAGTACTCCCGTGACAAACGGAGCCACGAGCGGCGCAGTTCGAGCGGGCTTCACAGGACGGAGAATCAAGACATGATGATGATGATGACTTACTCCATGGTTCCGGTAAATTCATGCAAACGCGTTTTTATATGTACCGTATATTTAGCGTGTATTATATGGAGATTACCTATTCGCTGGCTTTAATCAGTTGTCTCTTATCTTGATACAAGACTACCTCATCAGATTTTTTTTATTTTTATATTTTTTTTGGGGGGGGTGTCGGAATTCAAGAAAGTTGAAGTGTTCTACGGTTGTATGTTGGATATATGAATTTGAAGGATATATATATAAGAACCTTTTAACCTGTATTACATTTGTTTGTTTGACATCAAAGAGATCACAGGCCAACAGTGTTATGAAGCTGTGATATTAACACAGGCGCAGACTTATCTTAGTTTTTGTGATCAGCATCTGGCGTTAACACAGGCTGGCAAAATCAGTCAGTGTACCGGGAAATACTGTCGCATTGCACCCCGCGGCTTTGGATAAACAAGATAAGAGGTGGTCTTAGTTGGCACTGCAGAAGGATCGGGCGAGTCTGGCATATATCTCAGTAGCCGTATGTCCACATGTGAACCCAGAGGTCACGGGTGCAGCAGTGAAGGAGATCCGATCTGCTGCACTGGGAGCTGATCCTGTAACAGTGACTGTGCTCAGTTGTTGAGCAGACTTTTAACACGCTTCCGCTAGCTAATGTAAGGATCCTAGCGACGACTTGGATGCTTGTGAATCATGCCATGCTAAAAGTACACAAATTAATGAGTAAATACACACCAAATTTGATTCCCATCCATCCATTTGTCCTCTAGGTGGTCCACAGCCTACAGGCACAAGGCAGAGAACAGCCCAAGTTGGGGCACCAACCCAATGCAGGGCTCACTCACACACCTACAGACAATTTGGAAACTGCAGTTCACCTCTGCATGTTTATAGACTGTGTGTATGGGAACCAGAATACCCAGGGGAACCCCACAATGACATAGGGAGAACATGCAAACTCCACACACGGAGCCTGGTCCCAGAGGTGTGAGGCAACAGTGCTAACCGCTGTGCCACCCCTCACCTTAATACCCAGCTATGCAAATAACAGAAGGTTAATACAGATGTTTGATTACTCAGATGAGTGCATTACTCAAACAGACTTACCCCTCACTGCCCTTCTTGTAGGTCAAAGTGCTGGTGGATCTGTGTAACAGTACACATGGAATCTGTCTGACAGGTACAGCATTTGTTCCCTTTCTTGTTTACACTTATTGAGGGTGCACAAATAATGTAGTAGTACACTATTACTAAATGTATTAATTAACCAGAAACTAAATGTTAGTTAAGTACTGATCCCACATTTGTTCATCATTAATTAATCATAATTGTTCATGTTTTTCCTACAGTTACTATATTTGTTAATTTGTATTTGAGTAGTGACTGAGTCGCTAAGTTACTTGTGCCCCGTCAAGTGAAGTTTTACCCCTTTCTTCTCAATAATTACTCTTAATTAGTGTTAAAATATTTGACTTAAAAGAAAGGAAGGTGGATGGTGAGTGTGGATGCCTTCACGGATAGAAATACAAGTCCTTTTCTGACATTATTCTCCTCCGTTTCAGGCCCCCCTGGATCAATAGGTAAGTGATATATTTGGAAAAGAGAACCTCAACTGTCACTAACAAATATAGAGAGTGTTGGATGAGAGGGTGGGGCTCACATGCTGCCCCACATTCAAGGGGTGTGTGTTTGTTTTTCACCCCCAAAGTGTGTGCCATAGCTGTGGTTGTATGTATGTGTGTGTGGACTGCAGGACCTCGTGGAGCTGATGGATTGCCTGGACACCTGGGGCCACCGGGTCCAAAAGGGGAGCCTGGAGCTGAGGGCAGACGTGGGCGGAGAGGTGGGTTATGGAGCAGCATCTGGCTTTACGGGCTCATTCATCCACTCACTGCTTCAGTAAATGCCATTAACCAGGTAGATAAGGTGGCTATTCAAGCCATAGCAGCAATAACCACTGTGCATAATCCCTGAACTGGGACCAGATGATGCACAGCCAGGCGGAATAACTAAGTTAGTAGTATGCAGGGTGCTGCTGGTGAAGTACGCTGGGGGTGGGGTGCCGGTGGTGAAGTATGTAGGGGGCAGGGTGCTGCTGGTGAAGTATGAAGGGGCAGGGTGCCGGTGGTGAAGTATGAAGGGGGCAGGGTGCCGGTGGTGAAGTACGAAAGGGGGCAGGGTGCCGGTGGTGAAGTATGAAAGGGGGCGGGGTGCCGGTGGTGAAGTATGAAAGGGGCAGGGTGCTGGTGGTGAAGTATGTAGGGGGCAGGGTGCTGGTGGTGAAGTATGAAGGGGGCAGGGTGCTGGTGGTGAAGTATGAAAGGGGCAG